ATGTGGATCCATTTGTAATAGGATTCCATCAGAGGTGGACCCATCTGTATCAGGATTCTGGTAGGATTGAATTGGGGGTGGACCCGTTTGTATTACGATCCTATTATTGGTAGATCCATATGTAATAGTATTCTATCAGAAGTGGATTCATGTCATGTAGAACCCCATCAGAGGTAGGTGAACCCATCCCTAATAGGATTCTCTCAGAGGTGGACCCATATGTAATAGGATTATATTAGAGGTGGGTCCATCTGTCATAGGGTTCTGTGAGAGATGGTTCCATCCGCATTAGGATTCCATTAGATCCATCTCTAATCAGATACTACTAGAGGTGGTCCATCCTTAATAGGATCCCATTCGAGATGGATCCATTTGTCACAGGATTCTGTTAGAGGTGGACCAATCTCTAATAACATGCCATTGGGGATGGAACCATCTTATTAGGATTCTATTAGAGGTGGATCCATATGTAATTGGAGTCCATTAGAGGTGTATCCATGTCTAATTTGGTGTTATCAGAGGTGGATCCATCGTTAATTGAATTATATTCGAGGTGGGCGCATATGTAATGGGGTTCTATCAGACGTGGGTTCATTTGTAAAAGGATTCTATTAGAGGTGGGTCCATCCGTACCAGGATTCCATTCGAGGTGGATCCATCTCTGATGTGATGCCATTAGTTGTGGACCCATCTTTAATGGGATTCTATTAGAGGCGGATCCATATGTCATAAGATTATATTTAAGGTGGTTCCATCGGTAGTGGGATCTTATCAGGGGTGGATCCATTCCTAATCGGATTCTATGGAAGGTGGGTCCATATGTAATAGGATTCTCTCGGAAGTGGATCCATCTGTAGTACGATTATATGAGAGGTGGGTGTCTTTTGTGATGACGATGATGATGATGACGAGCATGTGTTTCAAGATGCTGCTGACGATGATGACGATGACGAGCATGCGTTTCAAGATGTTGCTGATGATGATGGTGATGACGAGCATGTGTTTCATTGCGCTGCTGATGACGATGGTGATGACGAGCATGTGTTTCAAGATGCTGCTGATGACGATGGTGTTGACGAGCATGTGTTTCAATATGCTGCTGATGACGATGCTGCTGACCAGCATGTGTTTCAAGATGCTGCTGATGACGATGATGATGATGATGATGATGATGATGATGAGGATGATGACGAGTATGTGTCTCAAGATGCTGCCCATGACGATGGTAACGACGAGCATGTGTTTCAAGATGCT